GTGCCACGCTATAAGCGCGAGACGAGTGAATCGCACTGTATGCGGTCGATGCCGACTCTTCTATGTATCGCATATATAGTGTTGATGTGCAGGTAATTACGCGATGCGCTTATTTCTGGTAATGTGGCAGCCACAGCGATAATAGGTTGATTAATGATCGATGGCAGCAGGTAGCGCGATGCGGATGAGAAAGCGAGGATCGCTCGGTAATTTGATTGCAATGAGAGTGTATTTCTGCGGTGGAATATTGAAATGTATCGCTTCAGGTAAATTTCTTTCTTTCTATCTCTCTCTCTCTAAGAAATCTTCTGAATTCTTTAGCGCAACGGTACATCGTCCGATGAAATTGCCGATATCGATGATTATACTCATGGATAAAGTACTTGAAACGTGCCTCGGTTTGTTACTCGAGACTATGTAAATGTCAGATTACACGTGATGGGAAAGATGCACCGAACGATCGTGTAGCCCTGGTAAGCTCGCGGTAACAATGATCGAGCGTGACTAGCATAGATCGCGTTGCTGTTCGACGTGTTTAATATCACGGGCACCAGATTACAAGAGGAAAACTAATGCACACCTCGTCGCGATCCGCCGTGTTATTCGAAGAATTACACGATAATACGTTCAAGTCCCGAATGCAAATGACAAATTGATAAGTACATTATATAACGGAAGTATATTTTTTCCACTGGTAGGAAATACTTTCGCGATTGTTGTACGGAAGTGATGGGCGAGGATTCTCAGATTACGATTCTTGCATTTTTATAGGTCAAGACCGCTGACGTGTTTCGAAATTAGCGGCGTCGCGTCGTCTCATTTCCTCACGCAAACAACATCTATTCAGGCAATTCCGGAAATTCGAATCCTCGTCGAATTGACCGTTGATTATTCAGCGTCTGGCATCATAAATGTTCGAGTAAGCGTCTAGCCGTGTCGTATTAGCGTTCTCGAAATACAAGACCATCGATTAAGAAACAATGCATTACGTTAGACATTGTGTTAGCCGATATTGTTGTTTATGTTACATTTCTAATAATAAATTTATATAATTTTATCACGCAAGAAAAATTTACAAAAAGAAAAGTCTCCAAGCAAAAATGAACGTCAAAAATATTTCGACCATAGTCGCAAGCCACATGCCATGGGCTGTCATCACGTATAATTTTAGTGAAGAAGAAACCGTGATCGCCATGCCGCGCGTTCTTCGGCACGTGGAACGTTCAAAAATGCCAACGTTCTTTTTCGGTTGTTGTGAAAGAGCCCGCTCTTCATTATACGGAGCTGAGCTTCCGAAACGCTTTGGGAATTGTAAGAGCCAAACTGTTCGAAAAGAAGTTCGAGTTCTTTGAAAACGAGAGATATAATAATATGAACAGGTTAATAATCGCGTTTTCTTTTTAGTAGCTGCACATTTTCAATAACAATGATATCCTTATTTTTATATTTTAACGTATAGAACGATATTTCCGAGAAAGATGGAAATACAAAGTGCGTAGCTCGAGACATACCGTGGCGATGATGTCACGCGCTCGAGGATGTGCCTGTTGATTTCGAGCCGACGCTCGAAATTCTGGCGTAAAGTTCGTGTTAAAGCTTGGCATCATCACCAGGCGATGCTGTAACGCATACGTGAATGCAGAGAATACGTCGACAGCGCGAACGAGATCGGACAAATTCCCTGACTAGTCGCCTGTAAGTGGTGGCGCGTGTCAACCTTGCTGTATCCTTGAAATCGCGCGACCGCGATCGTACGTCGAGCCAAGCCCGGAGTGACGGGCTGGCGAATATGCGCTCGCAAGATTCTAGGAATCAGCTGATTGGGGAATTCCTAGAGAGGCCCATTCTGAAGAGGATTCCGGCTTTTGTCTCCTACAATGGAATCAGGTTTCAGATTATGACTAAAAGCGTGATGGGCTTTTTCTCAGAGAATAATCACATGACTGGAATTGCGATTAGAATTAGAAATTTGTAATATTTAGTGTTATGTCTATTACCAAGAAACAAATGCTTCGACAGCAATAAACGTCTACAGTCATACACTGTTCACTATTAAATGTTAAAAAAAACTAGTATGTACAAGTGACATTTGTCTCTTAAGTATGTTTTTCACTTATGTCTCAAGAGTTTATACTTATCTGAAAAGAAAATAGCAGCTGCCAAGGCTGCAAAGAGTTCGATTTTCTGATTTTTTTCATATTTGATAATTAACCTTTGTAACATACGTACATACACATGAATTATCGTCATGTTAATTCCATGCAACGTGAGACTTTTACCTCGACTCGATCATTCATCGTAGAGTATTAACGTAACACAGCCGGCGCGTGACGTCCGTTAAATGCAGACGAGTGGCCGGGAATTTCCTAATACGGAGATAACGCCCGACCGTAGATTCACGAGCGGCGAACAAGATATTCGCCCGAGAGAGAACTATCCAGTTTCGCGACTTTTGTCGTTCCTTTCGTCATGAGATTAATGAGCGCATTATGATAATTTTTTCGCCGAAAAGAGGAACCGTTGCACGAATCCCCGAACGAGTTCGTAGGAGAATGTAGTTTTTGGCACGATCCCAAATAACGTGTAATACACGGAATTAGTTGCAGGTAGAGCGGATTTAATCTAATTAAATTTTTCGAGCCTACAATTCTCAGCCATTGTCAACTTAAGATCATTATAGGCCTGATCGCCCGAAGGTGTTAAAAAATAGGAAGGCAATTATAGGACGAGATTTTTGCTCGAAACCAACTCATCGCCGCGAGACTCGCGTGTGTGCCGTTGTGCCTTGATAGAAGAGTCAAATTCTTCTTTTCATTAGAGTATTCACAGACGACTCGCACGATACATCGCGAGACGTGTTTGTTGGAACATTTGCATAAACATAGATAACTGAATGTGAGTGGCCAGATAAATGCGATCCTAATGCGTATATTAAATTATCGTAATGTGTAGAATACGTTGGCGTTTTGTGATTGTTTGAAATTGAAATATGTAAAATAAAATAATTCAAGATTGAAATTGAGAAAATGAAATGCTAAGTGATTTTTGTCTCCCTATATTAATTAACACAAATAATTATGAGTCATTAATATTCAATGCTTGGATATGCATATTGTTATCCGATTAAAAATTGAGTAATCCATTATTTTTTTTTAACAATGTCTACATTAATTAATAACGAATACGATGTTTCCATAGTCATAAAAACTTACTTGAGCGAGAATGTCTTCTCTCAGCGTAATTCGTCAAGGGGCGAATTACACTGAAAGTACCATAAAAGAAAGAAGGGTACTATGCAATTTGTCATTCGGCGTGTTTTGCGTGTGGCATCATGGTCCTGCACACCGCTTCTGCCTCGCAAATTGCTATACCAGGAATGTCATTGCCCGCAGAGGAGGACATTATGGTAATTTAGGCTTTCGCGGTTTTCGCAAAGATCAACAGCTCGACTATGCATGCGTTTCTTGATATTTGAAACTTTAGTCTCACTCTGTTAAAAAATTACGCGAGTATAAGTGAGTTATTCTTGTATATTTTTTATTTATTTTACTTGAATACAAAAGCAAAGATTTAAGATAAAAAAAGTACATACATATTTCAAACATTTTTTTTTAATTCAATGGAATTTTCTTTACGTGTGTGTGTGTGTGTGTGTGTATAAGTAAAAAAAAATGTTAATTTTAACTTGAAGTGGTCTTTCTGAGACATGCAAAAATGTCATGTTAAAATTAACATTTTTATGTTAATGCATGTCTCAGAAGATTCACTATATGCATCTTTAAGTTAAAAATAATATTTTATTTTTACTATATATATGTATATATTATACTTATTATATATACTTTTATATATATACATATATATACATATATATGTAACAATCTAAATCATCGATTAGATAATTGTAAATATATTTTGCATTTTTACGGTACGTCTGGAAATAACAGACAAATTTACGACCAGGCGAAGTGTCCATGACTATACCGACCACGATGTTTAAACATACATTGTAACTGTCCACGCCGAGACAGTCTTATCTACTTTAAATCGTACGGTGAATGTCGACTACTTGTTAGAAAATTACTAACATTCGGCGGCGAGAGAAAGCGAGTGAGATAATCAGTTATTGCGATCTCAGCTTAGGATCCAGTTCGGAGATTAGATTTGGTGGTGTCCGATAATCTGTATTTCAGTTTTATCCTTTGAGGCGGCAGTAAATGTAATCGATTATCTAAGCGATGGTGTAAATAAAAAAAAATAAAAATTGTTAATAAATACCGATAATTACTTTTCGCATTTTGATTGATTAATAATCAGATAGAAGATCGAAATTGATTTTTGCTGAAGAAAGAATGAAATATCACTTTTTATTCATCCATTTCGCACATAGAAATAATTTGCTAATCTTTATTATCGGAGGAGGAAAGGATTCAAATTCTTTAGGGTCCTATAAAGGGTCCTACGGTGTTCCAACAAAATCCAGTAGAAGGCAGCAGGTTCTGGCATTTGGCACTTCAGGCAAAGGGAGAAATTTTGGGCCTGGTCGAATGAGATGAGATGGTCATCGCAGACCGGTTTTTAAGTGTAACGCCACGTTTCTTCACCAGATGGCAGCATCTAAACGGAGCATCTTATTATCGCGAACTCCGTTTAGTTTCGATCGAGATGTGCAGCGAGTTGGATGTACGCAGAGCTGATGTAAGCGCAAGCATCTCTCGAGAGCGAAAATATTTTATTTCGAAATTCTATCGCTTGCATTTTTCATTGAAGACTTATATTTGAATTCTTATATATTGTATGTATCTTTTAAAGCTTTTAAAGATAATTTCTTTTTTTTTATAATTGTATACAATTAGATGAAATAAAAAGAAGTCGAAAGTGAGAGTAAACATATAAACTATATACTTATATGATTATATTGAGGAAGAGGGAACTGGTTGATTTATAAACAACATCAAGATTATATTGAGAAAGAGATCAACATTTATTTGATGCTCTTGCAGTGATAAGCGTCGGTTGTCTATTCTCATAATAGAGAGGAATTATAAATGTAACCTCATTTGCATTCGTATAAATATAAATAACGTTTTCTCTTTCGCGATAGTAATCATTCATATATACAATTTTTCTCATACACACTCTTACTCGCGCTCGTATCCTTAACATAATCTTACGTCTAAAATTGTATCGATTAAAAACATTCTTCGTACTTACAATGATATTCTACAAATCGCTTAGCGTTTTATGTACAAGAAACAGAATGGAAGACTTCGGTGATTCTTGTTGCGTAAGGCACTTAAAATATAGTATTCATGTAATTTATGTACAGGGAGGTTCGATGAAAAAGGAAAAGGATAGGACGATGGGATAAGACAAAAAGGATTGACGCGATATTTCAGGATATTTTGGAGAAATCATCTGTGCTCGTTTCCAGTTGAATTTAACGATATATTTACAAGGCACTATTTAATAAGGCAAAGCCTCATTGGCTACTGGCCGACTGTGCACGCGCACTTGAAAGAATAAACTCGCGTCTTTTAACGATCCTCTAATTTCACGGTGATGTCCAGCTACGAACGGGACCGTTTTATCTACAATGATCTACATAATTGAGGAACATGTTTCCGTTCCGCGAAATTCTTTACGCGGCGCATAAATCGGCACGTCGAATTGGCGCGTTTTCGCCCGCGGTCGATCGGCCGCGGCTTACCATCGACATGTATATCAGTTTATATCACTTCAATCACGCACATATAGTGTCCATACCTTTTTCTTCCTTTTTTATTTTACCATGGTCTCCATGGCTTGTCTTCGATCTGAGGTACCACGCTCTTCCTCATCACCAGCGCGAGAGGTTTCTGGAGAGGTGGGCTGCTATAGGAATGTGGGTCGAGCTCTGGTTCACTGGTATAGCCGTTCGCCGGAGACGTGGCGACATCCCTGTGGCTGTTGGTTGGGCTGTACGTGGTGGATTGCTCGCGGAATGACGTCGGAGGTGCCTCGAACGCCACCGGACTTCCTGCTGACGAGGATGTCGAGCTGTTGGACGAACTCGTCGACGATGCGGATGCGGTGCTCGCGGTCCTCTGAGGAATCGGGATCAGATGTGGTAACGGCGAGCTTGGCGCCGGAGACGACGACGGTGACGACGTGATTGGCGCCTTTGCGCCCGCCGGAAGTACCAAAGCGATGTCACCATTTGGTAATCTGGTCGGTAATAGATGCAAGGCGGTACCATTGGCATTAGTAAAGAAAATGCCATTTGATTGCTGGACTTGAATACGTGGTGTGTCAAGTTGAGGCAGAATATGCACTTGCAATTGCGTCGTCGGCGGCGCTGGTTGGACAGCCTGTTGAGTCGTCGTTGTCGTTTGGCTGTTGGTGTTGTTGGCATCGATTGGACCCAGGCATGAGGCCAAATGGGCCATCAGACGTCTCTTCACCGAAGTGTCTAAACCGGGAAATTTGCCAACCTCGCTGGCGCACTCCGTATAACCGGCGCGGAATTTGTTGAGGATGTTTGGATCTGCTGCAGCAGCCATAGCGACTTGCTGTCGTTGTAGGGCTTCCAAATGCTTCACGGTCAGTTCCAAAATGTCAGCCTTTTCGAGCTTCGAGTGCCTTGACGGCTGTAACAAAAAACAGAAACAGAAAGATTAGACAAATTAGATTCGACGGTATATCAATATATCGAGTTAAATGTAGAAAAGAATAGAAGATCGGCACATAAAATAATTTTAGAAATTTAAATTTCTTTAAAGAATTTAAAAAGACAATTTCTTATTTTGTGTATTTTTATGTGTATCGATTTTATAAAATACAATATATGTTACAAAGTAGACAAAACATGTTATAGTACTTACGTCTTTTTTCATAGATTCCAAAACGAGAGTTTTCAAATCATTCAAGCTATTGTTAATACGGGCTCGACGTCTTTTTTCCATGATGGGTTTATTACTCTGTGAACAGAAATTGGAAGGCAATAAATTAAAATGTGAAAGTATGAAAAATGTTAATCGATTTTAAAAAAGTTAGGAACGTATGTCAATGAATATCGAGAATAAAGTGTCATGCCGAAATAAAAATGCCTTAAGAAAAAGGAACATCTGTGTGAAAGTTTTTCTATACAAAGACTACTGTTAGATATGATAACGAGTTGCAATTTTTTAATAAAAATAAAGTTCTTAATATATAACGATAAAACCAATAAGAGAATCTATTTTTATTACTTGACACCTTTTCATTTTTATTAAAAAAAATTTTTTTATCGTTTTTAAAGTCACACGTTTATACAATATTTTTGGCATCAGAAAATTAAATGTTGAAAATAACTCGTAAATTGATAGTATTTGTATAAATCATTGTAAATCGATAATTGAGAAATAATTAATCAATATTTAGTGATTTAATGGTGGATCACGTAAATTCGAAGTTTTTGGTATATTACTATAGTATAGACATTACGCGACTTTTAATAATGTTGTGCAAAAATACAAGTATTATTTATTTTATTCCGAAATTCGATACTTGAAAGAGAATAAATTCGGAGCACGAAATAAATGACACTTTTCAAATTTACTTTATTTGATTCAGTCATCTGTAATTTTACTTGAAGTTCTAAATACGCGAATTTATCTCAATTTTGAAGAGAAACTAATATTATCAAAAGTAGCAATTTTGCAATATATTAGTAGTCACTATGTCTTTTTTCTGTTATAAAAAACGATCGTTGATTAATACTTCGAATGCAGAAAATCTATTAACACGCAGTTGAAGTGTAACGAAGAATCTTCGATTTTGACACTAACCCGTCGATTTTCTCCTGATCTTCTCGTAGTCGTTGTGGCCGTAGGGGTAGTTTGCGCAGGAGGCTGACCAGCCTCCTGAGGCACGTGTTGCGCTGGTGGAGTAGCGCCGACGGTGACACCGCCCGTCGGCATCGTGGCACCCACTCCGGTCACCATGATTTATTTTCCGTATCACAGAACTCGAAGAACTTCCCCAAGTCAAATAAATTACGATCGACGTGAAAGCACTGTGAATCGAAATCGATCACACTTCACTGTAATCCAATAATCAGCTGTGCTCGATGTCCCCTCTTCGCCCGCCAATCGTTGCGGACGACAGAGTGATTGAAGGGATCGCGGTATGAACGTAAATCCCGACGGTGAACCGAAGGAAACGTGACGAAAGAGTGTGCACCCTTTTACTCGTCTCTTCTGTTGAACGTCGCTAAAATCACGACCGCTCACGACTGGCGTCTGAGCTCGACTAACTCGATGAACGGCGAACGTCTTCTATCGTGCCGTCGGAGCGTGGCACCCGGTGGAATGCCTGGTGGCGGCGCTTTCAGTGGAGGGGACATTCAGTGGCGAACGTACGGGTGGGGGGATCCAGCGCGTGACGCTTTAACCTGACTACCCCTACCATCGAATTCCGACAGTCGGATGGCCCGATGCCTTTAAGACCCCCACTCTGGGCTTTGGTTCCCTCTATGGCGTGCGGCTTGGACCCCCCCTTGGAACTCCCCAAACCTCTTCGGAGCCGATCGATCGAACTTCACCAGTGAGATTGACGTCGGTGATTTCCGATGAAATTTTCGATTGCTCTTTTGCACGACTTCTCGATGACTTTGCTAGTTGTTTTATTAATAATTTTACCATTAATCACTAAAGTAAAAAAAAAAAAAAGATTACGGTGCTTATCTATCTAATAACTATCTAATAACAATTTTTCACAAATATATGTACCATTGATTTTACTATGATGTCACAATTATTTACATATTCATTAAGTGTGTAAATCTCAAATCCTTTAGGTGCGGCACTCATTTTCAACTCTTGTATATTTTCATCCACGACAAGGATGCCGTTTGCGTAAGTTCGCGCGAGAGGTAACTCTTTGCTGCTCTCACAGAACGAGAAACAATGGGACGGAACATTTCCATGGATTGGTGATTAGTCTCACGTCTTCAAAGGTCATTAGAACCTGCTGGCCCTGGCTAGGCGGCGTTAGCATACGTCGATCGGCGATGGTAATTCCAACGCGAACGCGAGTATGCGACCGGTCGTGCGAACGTCATCAGAGCTTATATCACGTCCCTCAAAAATAGCCGAGTGCCACCGTGTGCGGAATACGACGGGCTGACGCACGCGCGTGTAGCTCCGGCACGTGCCTTGTACTCCCTCCCGCGATGTATGCCTTTCGAAATTGCTCTTTCTACTTGGCGCGACCGATTAAATGCGCGGCTTCGTATTTATCTCGGCCGTCACACGCATACGTGACGGTATACGCACGGTCTGAAATACGACCGCATCGATCTCGCGCCGGATCTTAACTTTGTTGACTGTTCGGACGGCGCGCGGATGGTTGCGTGCAAATATTGTGACGGATCGTGATATCCCAGTTGTTTAGCACTCCTTGAGTCCTTATTCTTGACTCTATCTGCGTCACTTTAAATCATAAATTGAATATTAAGCTTCGGGAAAGGTTGGTGGGTTATTGATGGATGATTTCTTTATCAAATAAAAATCAATTGGCCGATCCATGAAAAGTTTTTCTTTCGTGCAGGCAGGCAGAATAGCAGGATGAATAATAAGTTTGTAGACAGTAAACGCGTGAGTAATATCTTGCGTTTGCTTTGCGATTATATGGTAGATGATTAAACCGGATATAACTAGTCTTTGTGCAAACGTAATAATATGTATTGCGATGTCTGCCTGATAAGCATTGCTCTTGTAAACTATGGTACGGCAAATATCATCGCATTCTGTCGAGTACCTCGTTGCAAATAATATTGTACATTCAACTCGTTTCATGTCGTTGCCTTTTCTTTGTATTGCGTCTCTGGTATTTTTTTCTACCCACAAGGTAAAAATACGTTGTTTATTATCTAATTCATTTATCAACTTCGTTTTATAATAACTATAATAAGTTCTCATAAGATGAGAGATCTTTTAATTACATTATATTGGAATATTTCGAAAATTATTTCCCAAGACGTGTTACGGTTTGGGAAATACGCATCTAAAATACGTTGTAAAAATAATGATTATTCCCACGATTCGCATGGCCCGATCTATAATCACAGCATTTCGCTAGTAGCGAGAGGAGGAACGTAAATCCGAAGGTTCGTAGAAGTGCGGTAGGTAGGTACGACGAGGTACGTCTCTAGAGGATCCAGGCTCGTGTCCTCGCGTGCGAGAGAGCAGAACGACGGCACCCCACGAGGAAACCGACAAAGAGAAGAAAGAGGGAGACCGCCGGTTCAATACGGAACGACGGAAACAGAGACAGAAGGGATGGGAAACAGACGAGGATAGCACCAAAGGAGATAACGCGCGCGCGACTTCACCTACACGGAGAAAGAAGCACGTCGCCAATCACGTGACTGGGATTCGACGCGGCGTACGACAAAACTACGCTGATTGGTCCAGTCTGGCCCCCACCACTGGAAATTGGCTGAGAGCGAACGTGCCGCGCGCGTCGCTTTTGCAAGTGGTGGGGGTGTGATCGTCATTCGACTTTGAGCGCTCGAGCAGTGCAGGCGCGTGGATCCCGAGCTAGAACGTGTTTCAGAAAGATGTGCGTGGGGGTGACGGTGGCGATTATGAGGAAGAAGAGATGGGCGATGAGAGATCGAGAGGAATTTATATGCACTACTGTCGTGTAACTCGACATATCTTTTTCTAATAAAATTATGTAAACTATTCCATCTTTTGTGCAATTTAAAAAGAATAATTGTGATTAATTTTCATTTTTTTTATTAACTAATGTTATATTAAATAAAATACTTTTTAGGTCTGAAAGTATCGAGCAAATTAATTTAATAATAATAAATATATTTGAAAAATATAGAGATAGATAAAAGTTGTGATTATATAATAATATATAAATTTCAATTGTTGAAGTAATTAGATTAATTCCTATTTAATTTTTTGTACAAATTCTTAGATTAGGATTGCACATTTTAAGATTATTAGTAAAACTTATGATTGTGTATTATTTAGTAATTGGCGAATTATTTTTTAAATTAATTCTGTGATATAACAATATTTATTTGTTAATACTAAGATCAAAATGCGATAAAATGAGTAACTAGATAGTGCATTTTTCCAACTCTTTTAAATTTAGTATAGATTTAAAGCAACGAGATACGCCAGACATTGTGCTTCCATCTATCGGTAAATGCCGCAGGTTTTTTCGCTGGACCAACGAAGGCTCACATGCTGAGCTGAACAGTAATGAAAAAATTGAGTTATTAGAAAATGAAATTAATGTGGAAAAAAAAATTATGTATATCTCGATGATTTATTGATTGTTTTTTAAATTTTAATTATCTAACCGTTTATAAATTTAAAAAAATGTGTATAAAATTTCTATAATACTTTCAGTATTTCATCAGTATAGTTAGTCGAAATAATTCTATTCTTTTTTTTTTCAATTTTTCGTTGGGAGAGAGATTATACTATAATAAATTCCGTAAATTCTCGAAGCGAGATCGTCCTTCTACGATATTCGCGCCAGCTTACGTATACAGACTATACCGATAAGCTCTAATAAGCAACGCACTAATTCATACCCAAGCGATAACTAACAGTCGGCGAAATGTTGGTAGATGAATAGTATCTCGGTCAAGGAACTTACGTCCCTCTTTATCGCATGTCGTAGCCTTCGGTAAGATTTATGTAAGACATATGCGGTAGTTCACACTGCGATCTTTTATGAATTTCATTATTCTTGAATTCAGACCGAAGCGGATTGCTACCGCACGTACGCGATATCAGTTATCAACCGATATATCACATGTTAATGCACAATTTCTGTTTGCGTCACTTGTATGATATATTCTCATGATAAGCGTTACGCGATTTACACTCTTTAGATATGAGAATAAATCCAACGGAAGTTTGATAGAGATCGCACGAGTGTTTTGCAATGCAAACAGTGGGTATAAAAGGTTGAGATTAACGTACATGATGAACGTTGCTTGCACTCGAGTATCCCGGTAGTTACAGCGGCACCTGTTTGCCGGGACCTACGGCCTCCGTGAACTCGGCGTGACTCATTAGCTTTATAGGGTGCCGGGGCATTATGTGGGGCCCGTGGGCCGGTGTTGGCCGCATAAAAGCGTTTCGCGAGGCGGCATCGGCTTTGCTCGCGGCAAACGAACATTAATATTCGCTTCCCTTCCGTCGAGATATCAGATTAGGGGTCCGCGAGCCCTCTCGCTCACCCGTACTTTACTACACCATCCAGCAAAAATAAAGAAGCCGAGCAAAAGCACCCAGTTTGCAGTGCCCAAGTGCGCACCGAGTGCTGCAACAATCTGATTTCACCAGCACGGTTGTACTCTCGCATTACTCAGTCCGTTTTTCCTCTTGGTTTTCGCCTTCCTCGTATTACTTCCCAACGCGACCAAACTATAATTGTCCGCGCGTTGCGGCAGTCTCCGTCGGTCGAGAAAGTCGATCCTCTAACTACCTGCTTGCTCCTGGTTTCTATATAGCTTCTTCTTTGCTAGATGTCTTCTACGGCAGGTGCGGTCAATGCGTGGGTTGAGATTAATGGGCAGATTTTATTAGACATTTTAGATACAAAAAGTTCTTACAGGTTTCTTCACGATTGCATTCTCAAGTAATATATGTGTCTCTCGACATCAGTGAAAATTTTAACAGATGTTTTAAAATTCGTTTCCCTTTAAATTCTGAACTGCTTTAGGTATGAAATCGCTTTTGATGCGTGCAGTTTGGACTTTGGAGGAATTCATGAGATGCAAAATCGCTTTGACTCAACCTATAAGGATTTTAGCCGCAAGGGAATGACGGGTGAATGCACACGTAGTCACGCTTTGCGATAATTTACGACCACTGCGCGATCCGAATATGCTTCTAAGCATGCACGGAATGGAGGGAAACTCCACGCGATATACCGCGCCAGACAGAACTCGCGCAATTAGGCTACGGATCTCCGTCTTTCTGTCATTATCCGATGCTCGTCAGCTCGAGGCGTTGACGTTCATTGAATTTAAGAATGTAGCAATAATTTTTGAAAAGCACACGAACACGTTGTAATTGGTCGCGGTGGGAAATGATTCCACATAGGAAATTGACGGTCATTTCTGAGTCATTGCTTTTGGCATTATTTGCTTATCCGATAATAGCTGGCAAATTGTTGGGCTGTCAGTCAGTGAATGTGCGTATATGTATTGTAAGAGGCGTACAGTGCGTGCGAGTTTTATAACTCGCTCGAGGCGGCCAATCGAGGGGCCAGCCGAATATACATTG